GAAGACTTAACATCATGGTTAGATGTTGAAACAGAACAGTGATAGGGCTAAAATCAGCCAGTCTGACAGGGGATGATACTCAACAGTGACAGAGGTGTGCTTAGCTCTGAGCACCCTTGTCTGCAGCTGCTTTTTGCTGCCAAGCCCAGGTGACCTCCGTACTTTGTCCTCCTGAACTTGAGGCCATCACCTGCATGTCAGCGTGTGGGCTTTTAGTACCTCTGTAGTGGGTACTGCACTTTTCCTGAGAGCGTGACATGAGCATCTCCAGTCCTGGGAAAGGGAGGGATGTGTTCCTCTGAGTGGGGTTGGTTCCTGATAAGAAGGTGGATGGCTGGATGTGCAAAAAGGATGATCCAGCACAATTGTAGGGGAAAAAAATTTGCCTTATGCCTGCTGAGGAAATAATTGTTAGAAAGGAATATTCGAGAGTTTTGTTTTTTTTCCTGTCTGGTTCTGTGCTTCCCAGTACAAGAGAGAAATGAACCTACTGGATGGAGTCCAGCAAAGGGCCACCGAGATGGTGAAAGGTACTGGAATTAATCTGGGAGAGCTGGGACTGTTCATCTTGGAGAAAAGAAGGCTCGGAGGGATCTCATCAGTGTGTATAAATGCCTGAAGGGAGGGTGCAAAGAGAATGCGCTGGTGTCCAGTGACAGGGCCAGAGGCAATGGGCACAAACTGAAACCAAAGATTTCCTCTGAATGTCAGGAAACAGTTTTTACTGTGAAGGTGTCTTAGCAGGGGCACAAGACTGGCCATGCAGGTAGTTTTTGGGTTCTCCATTCTTGGAGATATTCAAAACCCAACTGGACACGACCCTGGGCAGCCGCCTCTAGGTGACCCTGCTTGAGCAGGACCAGATAACCTTTGAAGATTCTTTCCCACCTCAGCCATTCTTTGGTTTAAGGTCCACTTAATGCCTCTGTCTACTCTATTGCTTAGAGAAAGAAAAAAAGAAGTATCTTTCCTTAAATCTAGATTACTAACAATTCAGTTACTAACAAATTAGCAAATATTAGCTACGTCTGTCCTCGCTGTTCAAAACAGGATTTGTGTACCAGTGACCAAAGTTCTCTTTTGTAGCACACAGGAAATAGGGCTACAATGTGTGGTTTTATAGGCCATGTCCTTGCCAGGAGACCACACTGAGCACGTGGGATGTTTTCAGTTAGGACTTAGAAGACTTTTTTCTATGTGTGGCCATAGTATGCAACAGTAACTACAAACTTGATCCTTTTTACAGGATGCATTGATGTGCTGAGTCCCTTCTGTGATGACTTTTTATGTAATATTGAGGAAGACAGAGGTTTTTTCTCTTCAAAACTGCATCTTGTGAATGTTGGCAGGAAATCTTTGTTCCTCAGAAGAAAAAATGTCATCCCGAGTTTGCCAGTAACCTGAAGTTCTGGGATTCGAGATGAACTTTGTGTGATCAAATGACTTTTCATTGCATTTTCCCAGTTTGGGGATTTTCCCTTCTGACCAGTCTTTGGCCATCTCTGAAATAGTGTTTGCTGCAGGACACACTGTACTGCTTAGAAGAGAAAGAAATTGAGTTCAGTTGAAACTACTGCCAAGTAGGGACATTGAACTCAAACCAAAATGAAAACAAGACAGCACAGTGCTGGCAAAGTCTGTGCAAAGAGGGGATACCAAGAAGGAATGTTACCAGCATACAAAAAGACCTAAAAAAACCAAACCGAAACAAAAATCACCTACACTGTAGAAATGTTCATCAGAACTGCATAAAGCCAAACCATCCCCCCATCCCAGTACTGTAAGCCAGCCAGCAGCCATGGTCCAGATCCAGAAGCCACAAGGAACATAGAGTTGTTCCAGTCTGTGAAGATTTCCATTTCTTGTTCTTTGGTTCAGTTGCCAAATAATATTAACCTACCTCAAGTAGTTTTTTCAGAACTGCATTAAATGCATAAGCACTTGGACATTAAGAGGGTGGGGAAGAGACACATGACTGCTGAGATGGTGCAGAAGAGGTATCAGGCCTTATGAAGATAGTTTTGCCTCTCTCCAATTATTTGTTCTTGAGACAATAAATAGTCTGAATTTATTAAAGTGTTTATCACCTTTATACTTACATTTTGTAGCAGGTCAGGGCTTCCTTCAGATGTGAAAGACCCATTGCAAACACCCCTATTTTGTCCTGTCCCAAGAAAATTCTGTGGGGTTGCCATGGCCAAGTAATTAAGAAATTTTCACCAATAGACAAGTACACAAACTTCCTTGCTACATCTTTTTCATTAGCATTAGTTGTAGCTGTGGTTTAGCTTTCCAAAGGCTGAGCCTTGTTTCTGACTGTTTAGTATGTTAAGTTTGTCATACTGACCAGTATCTTGTGGGCTTTGCTAATCCCTTTGCTAATTGTGGGCTAATCTTTTTGATTAGAGGGATTTTATATGAAAAAAAGACATGGCTTTGTTCAGGTCAGTGTTTTGCAGGAATGCTGCTCAACAATTTGACCATCTTTTTCTACCTACTACATTGTAACACTTTCCAGTACTGTTCCATTATTTAAATAAGTGTTTCTGATGTAGCTGAATAAATTGTGGTATCTTAACCCCACTAAATTAATTACTATCAGCTTTTGGCTATTTCTTTTCCTTCTCCATGTATGTAATGAGGAATTTGGTGTACTGAGTTTTGACTGGACCCATTCATCTGCCTGTTCCGTGAATTGCCATAAAACTGACAGCTGTTTTATGGACGTGTTCTTTGCCAGGACAAATTCTTGCCCCGAGTGCCTGGCAGTGGGTGAGCAGCCCAAAGGAAACGGTGCCTGGGCAGCAGAGGAATTGCACAATTTTGTGCATCACTTCAAGGCTCCCTGTGGATTGTGGATCCTGAACGGAAAAGGGAAGGTGCCCAAGATTTTTAACTATCAAAGAAAATGGCACTTCCTGGGAACTCTCTCCCTGAAGTTTGCACAAGTGCAGGTTTTAGCACTCTTTCCCTGTTTGGACAATATTTTTATCTGTGACGCGACACTGGCACTGCACAGCAAAGGTTTGAGTTGTTTCTCCAGGGAGCAGGGTAGAAACCTCTCCTGCTGAAGACCTTTGGCCAGGCTGACATTGTGCCCCTTCATAAAGCTGAGCATTAGCTTTTGCTTTGAGAGAGAAAACTTCTTTCAGAGGAATACATCATTTTTCTGTAAGTTCATCTGATGGCTCCCTCTAGAGAGAGGAACATAAATACTGACCTACTTCACAAATTGAAGTTCTTGGATTTGATCACTTTTAGTCCCAGAAGTGCTTTTGTTGCACTTGCTCCCTATCAGATTCGGTGCCTTTTCAAAGCCTTCTTTCTCTCGTTGCCTAGATCAGTGCTTTTTGGGTGACTGCAGGAATAGAGTTTTCAAGTCATCTTAGTGGCATTTCAAAATTATCTCCTATAATCAGTCACTGATTCTGCCCAAATGTGCCCAGAATTGCCTCTCCCAACAAAGCATGAGATGGGAAGTCTGAGGCAAACAGGGAAAGCTGAGCTAGGGAAGATGCAAAGCTTTGCATTGCCAGAGTGGAAACTGCCTGTCTAAAATGACAGTGGGTGGATGTTGACCAGCACTAATTTTAGATAAGTATGATCCAGTGTCATGAGATGGGTGCTTTATTTTTTCAGGGAGGGTGAGAGAGTAACATACAGAGGAACTTACAGATTAAACTGCTTCCTAGATGCCCTCCTCCATTGTTCCATCAGGTTACTTCCTGAAAGAAGAATTTCTCCACTCACCAAGTTCAGCACTGCTTAATGAAAACTAGTACTGCTCCAAGTGCCATGGCTTTTAGAAAGGCTCTGTCATTACAAAAATACAAATTAGTGCTTGTGCTGACAATTGAAATAGCTGTGACTGTCTCCCACCAAATAAATTTATTTACATTGAGGTTTGCAGGACTGACTTATCAGGCTATAATGGAGATATAGCAGAACTCCCTTTGAGCCCAGGCAGTGCATGTTCAACATCCCACCTGAGCCTTGTTTAACAGGAAGGGGTGGCCCTGCTCACAGGTTGTTCCCACTGAACGTAACACAGAAGCTGGAGTGTGTGTTACTGCAAATGCCAACAACTGGTATTTACACTTTACTCCAAAAATGGTGAGGTATGTGTGGGAGTGCCTTCATTCAAAGGCAAACAACAAACAATTTTTTACACCTTTAACCAACAGCAGATTGATTTAGTTTATTGTTATGGGTTTTTTTTAAACAATGAATAAAGATGACCCAGAAATTAAACTCCAAATGACAAGACAAAATGCAGTTTACAAAATTGTTTGATACCTGTTACGATGACCTCCTAAAATTTTCATCCAAGACAAAAAGAGAAGTTGTAGTGGCCCCTGCATCACTGCAGTCAGTCTTGCTGCACTGATGATGGGGTGTGCCTTTCCATTAGGATGTAGGGAAATTACCAACTCCACATGTGCTCCGTAGTGCTACATTCCTGTGCAAGATCCCTGAGAGTAAAAACTTCCCAACTAGGTGACTTTATGAAATGAAGAAAAATGTGAAACCATCAGAGTGAGGTCAGTCATAAAAGCCCCAAAGCTGCTACAAAAGTGTTGGGCTGTGCATGGACAGGAAAAGTTGGCAAGAGCAGCTGCTGTGCTTGTCCATTCCCATGAACCAGGTGTGCTTTCAGACTCCCAGTGTGCACTGCTTAGCAAGGACCTGTGCTACCTTCATTTTCTGGTCATCTGTCACTGGATGCTATTTTTATTTTGCTCATAAAATTTTAAAAGTGGAAGAGGAGACTGAGGGGAGACCTAATCACCGTCTACAACTTCCTTGTGAGGGGAAGGGCAGGCACTGATCTCTTCTCTGGGATGACCAGTGACAGGACCCAAGGGAATGGCTTGAAGTTGTGTCAGTGGAGGTTTAGGTTGGATCTCAGGAAAAGGTTCTTCACCCAGAGGGTGGTTGAGCACTGGAACAGGCTCCCCAGGGAACTGGTCACAGAACCAAACCTGACAGAGTTCAAGAAGCATTTGGACAATGCTCTCAGGCACCTGCTGTGACTCTTGGGGTGCCCTGTGCAAGGCCAGGAGTTGGACTCCATGAGGCTTGTGGGTCCCTTCCGACTCAGCATAATCTGTGAGTCTGTAAATGTATTCACTTACATGAAGGTGCAAGTCATTCTGGATTGCATTAACACAAATTCTCTCGCTGGCTTGCAGCCACATGCCATGTTTGCTCTCATGGAATCAGGCTGAAATAAAGCATCAGCAGGACCATAATACCAAAGTGTTTGAGAGTCTGGACTTTGCTTCTAGTTGCTGTTCCTGTGGTTTAGTTATTTTTAAATCACAAGTGCTCTTAAACCATAGCATACTGCTCTTTGACACTGTGACCAAACTTTGATTAAAGCAGTTTTCTTAACTTTGGCTTCATTTTTAAGCTGTGACACAAAATGGAAAATATAGGCTATTCAAATACACTAGTGCAGAATGTGGACTAAAATGTGTTAAATACTTACATATATAGTGCAGAGTTTTTACTTTTATGAACTATTTAAATACCAATCATTAAACTTTTCTTCTGTACTGCAGAGCTGAGAAGCAAATTGACATAAATACTAAATAATGCAAATATTTTTATTAGCCTTGCAGCTATTGGGTTAAGAAATGTAGTTACTATATATTCTTCCAACCATGCTCTTGTTTTGGGTAACTGTATTTACTGGTTGAAACCATAGAAAATGTTAATACCGGATTTGCAGGAAATAAACCTCTGTACGAGATTTGCTGTTGTTTTCTTTCACTGTAGTGCAAGAAAGAGTTAATTTATAAATGAGGCAATAGTTTGAATGCTGACCCAGCCTCTTCAGGAGGAGCTGTGACAGCCTGACTTGTCCCAGCACTACTTATCATGGGAAAATTTTCCTCAGGGCCTCTCTGACAGTGAAGTCTTTATTTCTAAGGAGGTTGACAATAGGCTGAAAAAAGCAGTTTTTTCTTAAACTGATACTTAATAGGAGATCTTTGATTAATGAGGAAATATCATCAACCAGGAGGAAACTAAATTGCATAAAGCAGACATTAGGAGTTCTCCTCTATCCATCAGCAGTCTTTAGCTGCCAGTCACTGCAGAGAGCTCAAGAACACCTGTGTTATATTTGTGTTTAGATCCTTGGTCCTACCACACTGGTTTGAGCCACATGTGAAACAGTGCAGCAATTTGGCTGGGTTCTGGAGGCAGTTGGCTAATAAACACACTCAGTTCATGAGAAAATGTATTATTTGTTAATAACAGTCTTGGCTTTGCAGTAAATCTGAAATAATTAAGACAAAATGAGTCCCACAGGAATGTCTTAGTCTGAGCTGATTGTCTTCAGCACTACTAGAAAGATGCAGCACTGGAGGTGGTGTTTCTTAAACTAGATCCAGTAAATCCCTGTGAAAAAAGCCCTTTCTTCTCTCTACCGATTTACAGTGAGAAACTCAGTGAGTAATTCAAATGACCTTACAGATCAGGTAAGATCAATCCTGTCCTCTGTGGCTGGAAGTAAACAGATCCAGACAAAATACAAACCTCCATTCTCCTCCATGAATTCTTCTCTAAAACCTGTGCCCTGCCATACTTCCCTTCCCCTCTTAATCTATTCATAATGATAAAATAATTTCCTTTAATCTCTCACAGAAATGGCAAGCAGGTACAGCTTAGCATGCTGTTTCTTTTTGTGTCTACAGTCATGCAGCCATTTCTCTGCTGGATCCAGCTATGTCTGGGTGTGTTGTGTTGAAACCTCCTACTTCATGGTATTTTGACATAAATGGGATAATATTTAGCCCTGGCGCCATAAAGTAATGTGGAAGGCATTTGGCAGTGTTCCTAAATTCTTGCTGTTTAAACATGAGGAAGCAGATCACTTCTGCATACCAGTTCTAATTTATAGAAACTGAAGGCCATGAGGAATCCTTCCCTTTAAACTAAGCAGGTTCTGCAAGGGAGTTTCTGCATTCCCAGCTACATGTTTGAGCCCAATCACCCTCATGCAGTAAAGGAAGCCACCAACCTGTCAAATACAGCAGTTAGAAGCTGTTTAAAGCATTCCCACTTCTTTCCTGAAGTCCTTCATGAAGGCTACTGAAAGTACACTCCTCTGCATTTCTCTATGCTGAGTGTTTTAAATTATTCTAGGTAACTTTACAAAATCTCGGGGTTTATTTTAATGCCTCTCAATTTTCCTTCCAATATATTTCTTCTTAGTGTGTCTTGAGGCAGCAGCTGCATATTCACAGTGGGAGAGAGCTGACAGCAGAAAAAAATGACACAGGTGCCACTCTACTGCCTCATTATGAGGACACCTGAACCTAATTCATTTTTAACAGGCCTATGGCATCCTACTTTCCCTCAACAGCAGGTTACTATGTCATTTGTGGTGACACTGTGTCAGCAGAGACACTTAAGTTCCTGGAGAAACATATTTAAACTTCTGGGAGAACTCTTCTAGCAGCTCCATTAGTTTCTCTTCATCCTCTGGTGGACTGTGGGTGTATGCTAGGGGTAAGTGAGTAGGGACTGGTTGCCTGTCTGGAAGAAAAGAAGAAAAACCAAAAATAAAATAAAAATAAGAAAACAAACGAAGAACTCCCCCAAAAATCTTATGGGTACATTTAACTCTCTTATAGCAGAAAAGACATTTTTCTGATGGACTCTCTACTGCGCAAACATACCTCATGGTCTTGAAGCCTGGAAACTTAACCTTTTAGGTACCTGCAGTTAAGCATATCTTCTAAACCAAAAATTTAACCTATTAAATTTGTATTTTGGAGCTAGAGTGATTTTTCTGTAGCACAATATGACCTGGACTGTGAAGCAAGCCACCATTTGCAGCTGAGGACAGTTTAGGAAAAGGAGGGCTTCCTTGTATTGTAGGGTTATGCCTGTCACTAGTGCAACACCTACAGACAAAGAGCAAAAGCTGGAGTTTGTTGCTGCAGGCAGATGTTTTTGCACTTGAAACAACATTTTTCCTTGCCTCCTGGAGAACGTTTCTAGTACTATACAAATCCCCAGCTGGGACTTTGTAGTTAAGATTATTTTCAATCTTAAAATGCTTACTTTCATCCTTAGAAACAATAGTTAAATTCTAAGTGCAAAGGAACTCAGGCTTATTGCTCAATCGCTGCAAATGACATGTATCCAACCAAGTTTGCTCAGTTTGATGCTTTGCTTGGTTTTCCAAATCTCATGCCTGTCACTCACTCTGTAAATACAGCTGTCACCACCACCTACTCTAAGGGATTTTCCCCTCCAAAAACACAGTATCTAGACCCCACGAGTCTTTATGACAATGCTGTCAGGTGTCTGTGGAACAACATTCAGAGCACTGGTTAAGTCGTTTTAGTGAGCCCAACTTCCACAGCAGCCAGCTGAGATAGAAAGAACAAGCTGTTGCAACTCTGGGCAGCAGATTTCCCTGAAAACCTATCATGCTGCCACTGGGCTTCCCAGGAGAGCAGAGATATTTGCTCTCTTAAGAGCAAATGTTTACCTGACTGCACACGCCACATAACTTCTGCTCATGGAAAACGGAGGAGAGAGAAACATGCAGAGGAACATTCCCTTCTCCAGCACTGATTATGAACAGCTTTCCACCTAGCCACAGTGCTTCCAGTAGCCTGTGCTAAAGTTTGGGAACTAGGTGTGAAAGCCAAGTTCAGCATCACAGAGAAGATGCTTCTAGTCTTTGGAAAGCAGGCCTCTGTTAAACATTTTTTGTATATTTTAGCAGATGCAGAGAATTCTGGTAGTACTAGTCATGTTCTCACTTCTGTTTATTTTTTTCTCAGAAAAAAACTGGCTTTGGTTTGTTCTCAAAAAGTAAAAAAGAATGCAGAAAATGGAGGGAAACTGTGACTGATTTGGAAAATGGCTTCCTAGGACCAGAAGTGTGGGATTTGTGGCAAAGTGCTCCTGCACCCCAAGCCCTTCACTGAAACAGCCTGAAGAATTCCCATGCTAAGCTGTGGCTTCCAAAAGGCCATAGGAGCTAGAAATAACTGGCTTCACCACCATTTGATAAGCACAAGACACAGACTCAGAACTTCTCTTGCAGCTTTAAGAGCAATCATGCCAGGACCAAAGCTCTCAAAAGTCAGTAGCTTCAGCTAAAGAGCCAGGGCATGTTCCCTGTTTACCAAGGTTGGGGGTAGACAAAGGCCAAAGAGAAGAGCCTGGTGGAATTATGAAAGAAACAGATAGAACAACTGAGCAGAAGCACTAGGACCAGAAGAAAGTGATTGGAGTAAGAGAAAGGCAAATGCGCACCATGCTGACATGAAAAACGTCCACTGCAGCCAACACTGTGTGACTGACTGTGGGATAGAAGGGACAAAGTAACCCAAATGCAGAAAAGTCTGAGCTTCCTGCATGCTGTATAGAAATTCAGTGAATCATGATTTGAGTGCCACATCCAACAGAAGCCCTGAGCTTCCCTAAGAAATTACCCTGAGCTTTCTTTTTCTGAACTGACCTGTATCACCACTGAGGCATCCCTGCTTCCAGCTGCTCCTATAAAGATGCCTGTCATTTGCCTGGGAGAAAAGGCTCTGCCCTACTTTCCCATTCCCTGAGCTCACAGTGCCAAAAATGCCACTGTGCTGAAGTTTGCCCAGTGCTACAGAAAGGGGGAATTGTCAGTTTTAGCTAGCATGGAACAGTACGAAGAAGAACCTGTCAAAGCAGAGCCAACTCCCAGTACTCTGTGAGATGCTTTTTGACTTCTGTGATTCACCTTCCCTTGGCACAGTCCTACATGTAGGCATTTTCATTACAAATATCCCCAACCCTCCCTAAAGAAGTGGTTTGAAGTCTCTATTAGCTACTTTAGAGGACAAAAGCAGGAATATAATAATTGAACACGATGTTCACTCAAACATTTAGACTTGAAACAACTTTGAGGAATGCTTTATCCTTTGCACAAGCTGCCTGGTGCAGCCTTCATCCCCTTCCAGGCCAGACAGGGATCCTAAGCTCAGGCAGGCTGGGGATCTCCAGCCTGTGAGACACCACTCCTTACCTTGGAAGAACAAGCCGCTGGGCAGCCTTGTTGCTTCAGCTGACACTGCCAACCACAGGACGGTGTCAGCTCCCTGGGCCTCTGTGCGCAGCGAGTTCTTCATCCTCTCGTAGAAATCCGGCATGGATGATCTCACAGCTGGAAAGGATAACAATGGAATGGTGGTCTGCCATGCAAAGCTTCTTTGATACAAAAAAATAAAAACAAAAATAGAACAGCTTCAAATTGCCATTTTGTGTGTAGGAAGGAGAGGAGGCATCTCTGGAGCTTATGGAAGAAAATGAGTATTTCCCCCGATCTGGGAGTAGGAAGGCTTGTGGGAGAATAGCACTAAGCTGCCAGATGATCTACCACTTGTTTGTTTGGGTCAAATTACAGGGACAAAACTGACAACAGGATCTGTAAGACATTCCTCTGCCAATCCCATTCTAAACCGTGAAGATGACAAACACGGGGGAAACAGAAATTCCAGAAACCAAAATTTAGTATTCCAAAAATTAGAATTCTAATGGGATTTTTAGCTCTTATTTTCTCACCAGTTTTAGGAAACCAGTTGCATCACTGTATTTAAAATCTGCTTACTTCTTGTCTAAACTCTGCCTTCATTTTATTTTGTCCAACAGATGATGACTGTGAGCCCATCCACTGTAGGTGTTTATTTCTGGGGGTTGGATAGTCTTTGAACTTTAAGGTGGGATAACTTTATTGTTCATTAAGTCTGAAATCCACAAAGGAAGTGCAAAAATAAATATATTTTAAAGAAAAAGAAATAGCAGGATATTTAGTTGGAAAGGGCTATTTTCAAGCATAAAGTAGACAGGGTAAATGCTTCTGTTGTCAGAAGCAATTTTTGGAAACTGCATCCCTATAAAAGACCTAGAGATGTAACTGCTGTTCTGCATCCCAAGCTTGGGCACTGGGAGGTGGAAACATTGGGGAATGCAACATGCATAGTGCATGACCGATGCTGGCCCACCTGCTCAGGCACAGTCACTGAAGAACAGCTGCAGCTCAGACAAAGGGCTGAATGGCCAAACTGCTTCTCGACAGCAGTAAATGCTTAGAGGAAGAGCACAGGGTTTGCACAGTGGTGCATTCTCCTACATGCCCTCACAAATTCTCAGTGTCTGCATATTGGGACTTTCAGAGGCAGAAGTGCCATCTGTGTTTAACAGTTCCACTACAAATGTAACTTAAAGGTTACCTTAAAGAACCGTGTCTCTGCTGTGCATTTGTGCAGGGTTGGAAGCATTCATTGCCCATTATTATTCTCTAGATATATACAGCTAGCAGACACTGTGCAGAATAGAGCCACCAAGGGGATATAAAACTACTTCAAGCACCAGTTTGGAGAAAAGGAATTATTGCACCTGTTGGAGAAATATACTAGGAAGTTTCATTTCTCTTTGCTTTTAGACTAATTCTGAAAAGAAAAAGTTATTGCCAGAGCGTGAAGCAGATGTTACCTGGAGTGTCTGCCCAGCCAGGGTGCATCACAGAGAAATGGATGTTTCTGTGAGCCTTTGCCCACTGTTCTGTCAGGACAACTTGCTGTCTCTAGGATAGAGCAGTAAGAGCCACGCTAGCACCGAGTTCAACAGCCTATCCACCAAATTAGTTCCCAGGGAAATAAACTATATCAAATATGCCATAAATACCAGAGCACTTATGTACAGCAGAAATGCTGCTCATCCTGACTGGATTTATTGGATAATTTCATCAGAGACTTCCACATTCATTGCCATCCATACCCGGCCACAAATCTACTTTTAAAGCATCTGCACTGCTATTACTGACCACATCTACTTGCTGCAGACTGTGGGCAAGAACTAAGCAGGCAGACAGGGTTCATCAGCTAAAGACAGTGTTCCCCCTTGGGACTTCCCTCGTATCAAATGAAAGTCTAGCCATGCTCTCCTCCATGCAAGATGTATGCACTCCTCAGGGCATGCCATCATACTCCTGAAGATTATTGCCTGTGCATCTGCATATGGGTTGGAGGGAATGGGAAAGCAACAGTGACCAACAGGCTTTTTGCAAAGCAGATGGCATGAGCTGCCTAGCAAAGAAGGGCTGGGCTTTGTTTTCAATCCCATGGACTGTACCTTGTTCTGTGCATACACCATAGTTCCATCAAAAGGCCCATTTTCCGACTGCAAGTCAGATACGTTTAATTTTTGAACTAGCATTCCCCCAGAAGAGACAGTTATCTGTAATGAAATGGATGAAAAACAAATGAATGAAAAGCAAGTGAATGAAAACAAAAACCAGGGACTCCCCACAGATGCACTCATGCATGCAATGTAGTCTTCAGGCCATGGTTGGAAGTCCCTGCAGAGCAGGATTCCTCTGCATACTCTTTGCATTATGCTTATGCTCATGAGTAGAGCATACCCTGGAAATGAGGTGGAAGACACATAGGTTTTTTAAGAAGTGATGTTGATTTATTTCATGAATTTTGTGCTTCTTCTTTTGAAAAATAATAGGGAGAAAGAAAATAGCAGAATAGCACTATTTGCAGTTTGTATGTTTAGCATTTACTGAAGCTAATTAGAAGCCATACAAAACTTGGGAAATTTCATTTTTAAAAATATACCTGCTGTCTTATTTTACACCAAGATCTGTAAAGTTCTTTTAAGCCCATACTCCTGTTGTACATATTTTGCACTCTGCTGCAGGATCTAACTTGCCCTAGGGAATCTAAGAGGGTAAGTTCCCAAATGAAGTGTTTTACTCTGATTTCCAATGAAGGGTTGAGAGCAGCAGGCAGGAGCTTTGCCTCAGAGGAGGAGGTTGTTAGCAAAATCCAAGATGATTTTAGAGATCCTTACAGCTTTATAAGTAATCCTGCATTGCTAACACAGTCAGAGAACTGCTGTCACAAGCCAGAAGGTAAAAATAGTAAAACACCCCTTTTAAACAGCATCACACTCACCACTCTGGCATCAGCTGCTTTTTCCAGGAGGGGCACCAGGGCAGTTGTCATGATGTATGTACCTAAAAGACAGACAGGCACCAACATTAACCTTTCCTTTTAAAAAAAGCTTTCTTCTCTCTCCACCCTCCTTAACAACCCAAAACCCAAAGTCTCTTTATCTCTGAAATCTGATCTGAATTTTACAATGATTTTTTTGTTGCTGCTCCACTTGCAGTGTGCCAACTAAACCTGTAGTAGTTCATATGGCCATATACTTAGCAGAAGGCAAATATTATTTTACAGAATTTCATGTTTGTTTTACCTATAGAGAAAACAGCTCACTATAATAATCTGTGAGAATCTGAAGGCAAAATGGCTCAGATATGGAATTCCTTGGGTTGGGGGAAGGTGATGCCAGTGAGGAAATGGGGAATGCATTTCCCCTGCATGTCTGGCATACGCACACAGATCTAAGCCGGGTCACGAACAATAGAAGGAGACTGCACTTCATACTTACAGTTCTTAGGGCACTGCATATGTGCTTAAGACTTGTCCATTTTTCCCTTCTCACTATGAAATCACTCAGAGTATGCTGATACTTTTTGTGTTGCACACAAAACCCACCCCTTAAATCCCCAGCATGACCATTATGGAAAATAGGAAATCCTTGGGGAAAAAAAAAATTAATGTTGCCTGCCCAAGGCTGAGCTAAGATTACTTGGGGAAGCTTGTGTCCCTCCCTGCTTTTAATCATGTTTATTTAGCAAGGATTTTCACACACCACACAAATATATTCTATTACCATGACCAGCAAAGTTTGTTATTACAAACACTGTTCAACTGTCAGTGTATTTGACTCAGAAACACAGACACACCTAGTAATGTTTCACCCAACCGAGTGCAACACAGATTTTTTTTTTTTTTTTATTTTTTTTTGGTTTTATCTTTTCGGAGATTTTATTTCTGTTTAAAGTGTATTTTTAAAAATTCCATTTCATTCAAAATTAATCTAGCCCCACTTAGTCTAGTGTTTCTGCATCTACCTCCCTCTCATGTCTTTACAAATGCCTTTAGTTCAACAATTCTATCAGCAATAACCACATTTTTTGACCTAAGCTACCAAGGCCATGTTTATCATTAGGGATGAAGACATCAGCATATCTTTATAACTTCTCTTCCACACAGGCAATGATATCACCCAGTTAAAATACACCAAGTTTATAAATACGGTACCAAAATAAGGCATGTTACATGCTTGGTGAACAAACTGTTCAGTTCCCCTGTCAGTCACAGCAGCCTTCACTTTCTCTGTATAATCAGAGGTATGCCCATACACACGCTATATATTTAAAACCCTGGCAAATCAAACAAAGCAAATGCACCGCAGATGAATAAATGTAGCCTGTCTTCAGCAGAAAATGTGAGCAAAGGCAGTTGCCAGTGAATGACGAGAGCCCGGTCCCCTGGTAGTGGCGGGGAGACTGAGCGATGACATCATCGGTACAAGAACTCGAGCTGACTGTCAGGGAAAGCTGCCGCGATGTGGGGGAAAAACAATTTAAAAAACAATCACCTCAGTAGTAAGCCGAGAGCCTGGTTTTAATGTTGTTTGGCTGTGGATTCTTCAAAAAAGTAACATCATGTCTTGGTTAAATAAACTGCATCTCCTAAAGGCAGAGCTGCAATGCACCAGTTCTGGCGATGCTCCATTTTACTGTCCTGAAGATTAATTTACACTTTTAAGGGGCTTCATGTTGATTTGTTAATTCTAAAGAGCTGGAAAGATGAATGCACTAATGTTGCCTCATTAACAACCGAGTTTTTGTTTTGTTTTCCAGCCAAATAAGAGAAATGCTCAATGCCAAAAATCCTGCTTAGAGCAACTACAGCTTGTCAGAAGTTTATGTGCTTATTTAGAACCACAAACTAACTGCAAAGCCCACATCTCCTTTGTTCCTCAAGTTTATTAAGAATTCAGTAAATCCCACAAAGCCATAACATTCCATCTTTTTGCCCCACAAAACCACTTGCTCATTTGCTTTGAGACAGAGCACAAACAGAGAAGTTTTGATCACAGCTTCCTATGGTAAACAACAGTATCTGAAAACACAGACACAATGCATCAGGCATTAAGGCTGCAGCATTAATTTCTCCCACTGCTAAATATTTCACTGACTACTGTCCCCATTTTAAGTGTTTGAACACAAACTCCTCATTCCTTTGACAAAAATACTTGGATTATTATACATTCTTATTTGCCTGGGCTGGTCTGTCAGGCAAAATAGCCTGGGAAAGAAATTTATAATGGTAATAGTAGAACAGATATAATTTATTACCAAGGTTTATTTCTGGTTAGAATACATCATTGTCAACTGCAACCTCCCCATTTTTATCAGTGCAAAAGCTGGCCTGTAGTTCGATGGTGACATTCAAACAACTCGGGAGAATGCTCAGTATGGTCACTGCAGGGCTTGGCACAGCCGTGTACCTCACGGCAGGTACTTTGTCCAGCACTGCTGTATCGCAGCAGGCACTAACACAGAAATTAATTTCTGAGTAAAAGGGGAAGCACCAAATGAAGGCGTTGCCTGCCACTGTCCTTATTAAAAAAAAAAAAAAAAAAGTTTTTTTTGCTAAAAAAACTTTGCAAGGAACACCAAGACTGATTTGGTAGAAGAAACTACATTTATCTCTGCCCCTATATAAGGAAATTGAGGCAACACCCAAACTGCATGTCCTTTTGCCAATACTTGATTATTAATACCAATGTACTGGATATCAGATATTCCAAAATGAGCACTTGAGCACTCTAACACATTTACTTGATGCAAAAATAATTTTGTCTGTTAAAGGAGAAACTTGCTCCCAAAGAGCTTAGTTTAAAAAGGCAAAACATATCAAATATGGTTAATGCTTAATTATCACTGTGTTCAAACTGTACAGACTGAGTTGTTTGTTTTTTTAATGGTTTAACACAAAAGTACATGAAAGGAAAGGCAACATTTAACAGTGCTGTGCCTTGCACTGAATGCAGTGGGTATTATTGGGTATCTGCTGACCATACAGCTGGTACTACCTGCATTTAGGACTGTGTGACAGGGGCTAGATTTGTGCATCATTATTTCCTGTCACTGGAAGGTACATTGTCCACATGGCCTGAAAGCTTGTCTCCCACTGCTGTAAGAGGGTGAAAAAAAAATCAGTGAAATAAATGGTATACAACATTTCCCTCTGATGAGCAGCATTTGCTGTGACACAAAGGAGTCCAGGAAGATGAATTTCGGAGTTTGCTCAGAAGCAGCAGAAATGCAGAAGAAGGTGAGTCCAGTCTATCACACCCGTATAAAGGATTTCATCTTGCCCTCACTGAACTCTACCAAGGTGAATAGCTGACTTGCAAAACCTACTGGACAAGCTACAGCCCCGTTCTGTGTAATGAGGTTTGACAGTACTGGCTGGCCATGTTTTCTCCAGTTAAAAAGGCTCCTGGGATAGCTGTACAATTTATTTTACAGATAAACAGTCTCTTAACATTAGCTTTCTTTGGAAAAACTTCTGTAGGCTTTATGCCTTGAAGCTGATCTCCCATAATAGGAAATCATGTATAATAAAGAGTAACTATAACTTTTCTATAGAGAAACACCATTACACACCTTAAACCAACTTTATCACATGGTAAAGTAGACAGGGTGGGTTGCCAATCTATGCATTAAACATGGTCATTCCAGTAAAAGTAATGAGCATGGCATTAATGAGAATATACTTTGTTCATGCACATTAATATTAAAGTTTCATGTTTACTTGAAAAATATGAAAAAACAAAACCCACCAAAGATATTGAATCACCATGCCTTCATTCCCTTGTGGCCTGTCTGGTAATTGCTCCGCCTGCTCTGAGATCTCAGTTTAGTTGAGTAATCTGATAATGTGCTCTAACTCAAATTTTTGACTCCATACAGTGAACTCCTGTCAACCTGGATAAGCACTAATTCAGTGGTTTCACAATCACAGAGTGAAATATTAATGACGTATGTGTAGAAAATGAGGCACTATTGTGGAGATAAACATTTGATTCATATGGTATGTTGTTTTTAAAAAGAAAAAAGCCCAAAAACTAAAAAAATCAGCCTGAAAAACTCCTAAATAAAGTTATGCTACCTTTCCCATGACATGATGCAGATGTTGAGGGGACTCTAAGGAAGACACTATTATCAGGTCTTGTGGAAAGATAGCTCTGCATGTTCTTACAACAGATATTGCACTGTGGGTCTTATGACATGACCAAAATGAAAGCTATCCTAGTGCATGGGACAGCAGTCTCCAGTATATTAGACACTGGTCTTTCTCACAGAAAAATGCAAGTCTTGCTGTACTAAAACATGAAAGTAATCAAAACACAGGACAGCCCTAATAGAAGATAGAAACAAACACTGTGCATGCAGATTTCCAAACTGCTGGTGGTGTAAATAAGTCTGCCAGAACCTGGAAGACTCCTTAGGATTCACATTGTTTCAGACTGAAAAGTAACAGGCTATCACATGAAATAAAAGTACACACATACTCTGATTTGCTTTAAGATTTAATGTGACCCTAAAATCTGTACCTTATAATTCAATTTTGTAGAAAATTATGGTTTCAGTAGAAGTAACATTGTAAACTCACTACCTACTTATAACATCAAATTAATTGATTATGCAGTTACTGTGGACTCAAGTATCTTGGTGGATTCCAGATCATTTTTTGCTCGATGTTCTATCTGGCAATTAGTGGCACACTGCTGGTGAGATTTTTGCCCTGCTAAAATTTGGATAAGGGCAGGCAGCCAGCACCATACTCTGAAGTTTTTCATCTGCCTGAGCTCTGCAGTATTATTAGGAAGGAACACTATTATTTCAACTGTAAAAAAAAATGGGAACAAAAAAACAACCAAAAAAACCCCAATACCACCAAAAAACTTTTATTGTACAGATTCCAATGGCTCATTCATCTGGTAGAAATCAGTTAAACTGGCTTGCTTTTCTTGAGTCCAAGTGAAAACAAACCACAGAAACAAACAAAACCACCCAACAAACAAAGTGACATTCTTTGCTGGCCTGATTATCTTTGCAAGGCAGCAGTTTATGCAGTTCCAGTAAGAGACATCCCTGAGTCTCTTTCCCTGAGTAAGAGATCAGGAATGAAGACTTTAGTGTGCTGTCTCTGAGGGCCAATTCCACTGCACTAGCAGTAACTGAGAGTGTATGGGAAGAATTAATGAACATGAAACACAAAATAAAGGTTTACAATTCCCTCATCTCAAGAAGGGTTCCTCTGCCTCCTGGGAACCAAGTTTCAGTACCGTTACTCCATGTTCAATTATATTCAACCTTATCCTTTCACATACCACCTCTGATCCATAGGTCTCAAAGCTCTTTAGAAAGAAAATTGGAACCACAGCTTCCTTTTCATAGATGAGGTTGTCTTGCCAAAGATCAGGCATTGAACTTATGGCAAACTGACAGCTGATATTCAAGTTGTTTGACTTCCAAGTAATTCAGAACACCAGGCTGCACTGGCTTCTGTGAAATACCAGTTAGATACAGTTCATATTGTAGGGAAGAGACTGATAAACATCCACCCAGGTTAGGCAGTTTGCCACAGAAGGGTTATAGTGTTACTATGACAGATAAGTATCTTATTTCCTCTGGCTCTAACCTTTCTTGCACAGAGTGGAAGTATATGTCGATATATTATTAAAACATGAGAGCACATTAGATTGAGGAAAAGATGCATACTGGGAGCATCATTTATCTCTCAGTGTGTTTTAACATCCCCTTGGCTGGTAAGTAGCAATAAAAAAGTAACACATATGCCATTTTTCCATGTCAAACAGGAAGATATGTTGAGTAAAAGCAAAGTGAGGCAGGCGATAAAATAGAAGGAAAAGGACTGTTTCAGCAAAATGTCTAGTGCTTCAATAAGAACATGCTGCTTTTGCCTCCACTTGCTTATCAATGCTGAAGTTTTTTTTCCAAAATGACTGAATACCACCAGGTTTAATAGTCTTTGCTGGGAGTTATACCAAAACAAGTAAAATAAAATTAAATAAAAAATAGTTTTGAAATCTTTATATTTGAAATCAATAGTCATCAGAAATCTGCAAGACTCATCAGAAGAAATGATTGCTTGTTGCTGCCCAGCTCCTGGGTACAACCCTGAGTATATGGTTAGCCCACAAGAAGAAATATAAGGCCAACATCACTCAAACTAGAGGACAGAGAAAAAAATCTGTCCATCAGGATTGGCAGGTCTGTAGGAAATCTGCCCACATTACCCCAAGCGAGTCACTCAATTTGGTTTATTTGAAAGTGAGTTTCAATCAGCAAAGTGCTATTTCATTCTCGTGCCTGGCCAGCACTCCCAGTCTAAGTGCTCCATTCTGCTCTCTGCATTCACTGAGCTCCAACAATCAGACAACAATTCTTGAGCCTCTAGCAGGGAAAAAAGACAAGGTGTTTCATTTGACAGCAACAACAGAACCACAACGAGCCATGCAGCATTTGTGCCTCAGACTCATTTCAAGGGCGCTACAGGCACCAACCAGCACAGATGCAGCTGCCACCACCTGCTCAAAGCACTTTCCAGTTTGAACTTGAATATTAAATGAACCATACAAAGCCTTAACTATCAGCCTGCATTTTACATTTTTATGAACTTCATCCACCTGCATATTCTGACAGCACCAGAGAGGACTATGCACCTCTTGTTTCAGTTGCCATCCTCAATTAGCCAGTCAGCTGTGTTTTACATTAAGGGAATTTTACTTTCTGTTCTAACTGATGTTATTTTTTCACATATTCATACAAGAGGACTTATGCAGACATTTTTGTCCCATGTATATCAAAGAAAAGATCAGGATATAAAGTATGTTTCACGAGTCAGTTCATCAATTAGAACTGAACACTGACATCCATTATGCTCAAAAGTGGACTAACAGATCAGTCAAGAGCAAAACATTCCTAGACTACATTTAAAAGCTAGACAGCATTTCAGACACCTAAATGAACAACTTTACAGTTTATAGAAATGTTAATCAGATATCAGATACAGAATTCAAAAACTGTGTCGTGCATTTAAAGCATGTTATATTTCAAGCTTGCATTTTTAGATAGTTACAACCTACACACTCCTTTACTAGACCAGAGATCCAGGATAGGAAAAAAAAAAAGCGAAAGAAACATGGAAGGAACACCCTACATGTAAAGATCTGCAAAATATATTGATATTATTCTATCTTGTTAGTCAAATGAGGGACAACTGCACATTTTCCAAACAAGGGCCTTGAGCCCACGTCACCCTTCAGGCTTTAGCATTACTGGGGCAGAGAAGGGAATTTAGTTTGTTCTTTCAGACCACATTTGAGTTTACAGCCAATCTATACACCAGATATATCTAATTTAGCCAGGTTTTTCTCCAGGAACCTACAACCACAGATAGTTACTGAAACAGAAATAACTTCTCCCAAGTAAATCACACTCAAAGGCACCTAGTATTTAGGGAAATAACACAGCATCTACTCTAACAGGTCTTTTTCCACATTGCTTTCTCCTACTGTGACTCCAGATATGATTTATTACTCTATCCCTGACTTTAAAAAAGAAACCTATGGTTTGTAGCTTTGGTCCTTCATGTGTGTCTGGCCTGCAAGCACAGAAGCTTCCTGTTGCACTGCCAGCTCCTTCCAGTTCAACCAAGTCCCACTCTGTTCTAAAATATTCAAAATTCAACACTTATTTTTGTCTAGAGAAGCAGTCTAAGCAAACAGTCCAGTCCTTGTCTGAACTCTGAAGAAGCTGGACAACAGAGGATGATCTACCTCCTTAAACTTATACAATCATGCAGCAAGTGATACACAAATGCATAAAGGCGATCTGTAAGTCCACATCCACAAAAGATAATACAGGCATTTTCCTAGTTTGCTACAACCATAACTCAGCTTCCTCTGTGAAGCTGTATACCTCTAGTAAGGCTGATTTACAGCTGTAAAAGCAGAATTTGCTGCTTCTACTTGTGTGATGAAATATAATTCAAGTAATGCACTAGTACGGTTCCTCAGCACTTAATATCCTCAATGTCTAATAAAACTAAACCAAAACACGCTTTTACATTCAGACTGTTCTATTTGTTTCACTCTGCTTCTCTCTGGAAGAACTGTATGTTGGCACATTGCTGGGTTTTTGTCTGAAAGTCCACAAGAAGATAGAAACTACTATAAGGTGAATACATCTCTGAAGGTAGAAGTTCTTGTACTTGTGCAGCCAAGGGAAATTTGATGTCAAAATAAAACTAATTTTGAATTTTTTGACCATGAGAATCAGAAGAATGTTAGCAGAAGATTAGTCTGAAGCAAATGAATCTATGCTTTTATACTTAATTTAATTGTCAGTTTAATGTACTCAAACTTGCAGAAAAAATGGGCTGTATGCACAATAACAGTGAAGCAGAAGTGAACACTAAAATGTTAGTTTTCAAACATAAGTCGAATTTAAGAAACCAACACAGGAAAAAGGCCAAGAATAAAAACCAACAATGGTTTCCAGGTTATACTAGTTCTATAAACGTCTTATCTTTATAGACTAGGTTTTTCCCTTCCTCATTCCAGATATTGATGAACAGGAGGAAAACACAGAAACAAAGCACTACAGTTCTTCCTTAATGTGTCACTTTTGACTATATTAAAGACTTGAGAAATCCACCTACCCTGCACAGAGGCAGAGGAGGAAGAGTGTCAGGCCTGTGGGGTTGATGCAAGCACGATGCATCTTTCAGCCTTACAGGTATCAGCAGTGTCAGACAGCTCTTTCTCTCTGCTGGCTAGCTGTTTGCTCACCTCTTTTCCACAGCTTCTGTGGGGAAGCCTTCCACTTGGCTCGCCATTTTCCCTGCCCTTCCACCTCTCCACTTTCCCTCTTGACTTGCTTCCCGTCATTTGTCCCTCTTACACCACTGCCACTCAGTTCACACACAGTGCCCCTTTCACGTGGAGCACCCAAGACTTGCCCATTACTGACCAATCCCTTGACTAGAGATTGCATCTGTTTGAGAGCGTCCAGGGCACTGCATACAGCTCAGGCTGCCTACACAGGGCTTCTGTCACACAGAACAGGGCTGTGCAAGCCCACTCAAACATCTGAATCTCTCTAAACATCTGAATATGCTCCAAGCTCCATCCAAACCCCAGAAACACAATTATTACAAAGAACATCATTAGCAGCAATGCTCGGAACAAAGTTTCCTAGCAAACTTCAGAATCAACCTGCAATTTTCAACTTCTGCTATGATAAATAAAGATGCTGATATCAGAACAGCTGAAAAATGGAGAAATTAAAAAATGACACTCCAAACAAGCTGTAATATTCTTTTCCTTCCTGGCTCCTTCCCTGGCATAGCCATGCTATGATCCTTCTTTGAGCAGGAATACATACATCACAAACCCAGCTATAAAAACACACTTTTGTAAGCAAAATAAGCATGTTCCAGAACTAAACCTTCAATACTCACCCAAAGTGTTTGTTGCAAAGTTTTTTTCAAGTCCATCTTCAGTTACCTCTCTGCTATTCACCATACATCCCGCATTGTTGATCTGTAAAACAACTCCTTTAAACAACAGGAATCTACACAAATATCTACAAGGAAATCCACACATGAGCAATCCATGTTAATTTGCTGTTTTCTGACACTGCAAAACAAAGCTACACACTGTAGCTTTTATTTATTCAATAAAACATGATTGCAAGCTGTGTGCAGTTAGCATAGTCTCTGACACATTTCTTTCTCTGCCTTACCTTCCAGAAGGAGCTCAGATTTTTCTCTCGCACCTCATAAAAATATCTGCCCCTACACACCTTCCAGCGTGTTCACTGCCACTCCTCAAAAGTGATTTCCCCATTTTTATCAGATGTTCCTCATCTAGTAAGCACTAAAGGAGCTGCTCCAGGTGCCTCAGCTGTAGTACAGCCCCCCGAGCAAATTTTCACTGTTAAATAAAGGGGGAACTGCACTGAGCCTCTTGCCAACCACGATGATTAACTGTTTCCTCTCTCCCTGGCTCTGTTGTAGTCTTTGGACTTTTTGCAAAAGCTTCATCTTTCAGAAGGTCTAGCTTTAAGAGGGACAATGTTATTAGCAATGAAAGTCAAAGAGAAAATGTATGGTGTCTCCAAAGATGCAGCTATAAAATCACTGCTTTTCTCTTTTTTTGTACACATCTGTGTTAAGTGAAAAGGGACAAGAGCAAGCACACCATGGAGACTCCCGAAAAAAAACCCAAACATTTAGAGAAAATTAAGGAGAGAATTGTGGGCCAAACTGTCAAGTTTACATAACCTGTCAGACAAATTCATAGGCTACACACTCCCAAGACAGACACACATGATTAAAGTACACAGACTTACCAACACATTTAATTTATGTTCATTTTGGAATTTTTCAGCAAACTTCCATATTTCCTTGGGATTAGATATATCCACAATATGCAAGAAGATATTCTAAAGGAAAAGAAACTAAGTCACAATCAACAGGGAAAGTGAAGAGAAACCCTGTTTAGACCTGTCTAGGTGAAGAGGTATTTAAGTAGTATGAAAAAAATACTGTCTCCAGAACACAACTAATACAGGTTAACATGCACAACTGCAAAATTTAACTCTAGTCCTTAAAACATGTTTAGTTATTGATTCAGCTGCTTCTGAGACACAGATTTTTAATGCCAAAGTTATTAAGAGACAGTCCTACTTAGATAAATACATGACAGACAGTCAGACATAGCACAGAACTAGAAAAATATCGCAAAGCCTGCAAAATTTCAGTTTAAACAATTCAGCAGCTTTCTCTTTGGCTGAACTTTCCAAGGAAATGTTCAAGGTCACAGCATTAGAGAATAATATAGGTTGGAAGAGACCCCTGGAGGCTGCTTGGCAAACATGGAGATTCACCAGATTGTCTGAGCCCCCTGCTCAGAGCCTCCAGCATTTGATCACCCTCATGGTGAAAACATTTTTCCTACTGTCTACTCAGAATTTTGTCCCTGTTCCAATCTGTATCAGCTGCCTCTTGTCTTCCCACTGCAGATCTCCAAGAGAAGCATGGTAGTGCCTTCCCTACATACTCCCATCACATGGCTGTAGAATACAGCAAGACCCATCTCAGCCTTCTCAACACTGAGCAAAATCAGCCTTCTCAGAGTCACTTTGTATATCACATGTTCCATCTCCCTACTCACCCTCTGCTGGACTCACTCCAGGACATTGGTGACTTCCTCATCCTGGGGATTCCAAAGCCAGGCACAGGAGTCCTGCTGTGGTTTCACAAAGGATTATCAGAGAGGAAGATGCACTTCCTCAGCCCACTGGCTAGACTCATGTTCATACAGCCTGGGGTATGGTTGGCTTCCCTTGTACACTTTCACAGAGGGACACTTGTCACCCCCAGGTGTCCCTTCCTACCATCTGCTTTCCAGACAGCTAGGCAAAGACTGCACTTCATTCTGTCACCTGTGCTCTTAAAAAGATCTCATCAGATTTTGCCCCTGTACTGACTCATGGGAGATGCCACTAAAAATCATTAATAGATCAGCTCTGTACTGTTGATTGTTACTTTCAAAGCCACATACTCCAGACAGTTTTTCACCCACCTTTTCATCCACCAGTTCAAATCACACCTTTCCAAACTGGCTACAAGGATATCATGGCAAATCATGTAGAAGGCCTTGTCAAAGTTAAGGAGAGCACTGCTCCCCTCTTGTCCACAGGCAGAGTCATCTGACCAAAGGGATCAGGGAGAGAATCAGAAGGGTGGCAGATAGAGAACTCATGGTTTGAGATGAAGACAGATTTATAGGGAAAGTAAACGCCACACACAAAAGCAAAAAACCCCAAGCCTATGATCTTACCACTCCAAGAACACCCAATCTTGTCTGATCTCTGAAACTAATCATGCTTGGGCCTGGTTAGTACTTGGATGGAAAACTGCCTGGGAACACCAGGTGCTTTAGGCTTTTTACAAGGAATTAATTGACTGCCTCCCATGGGCAGGCAGGTGTTCAGCCATCTCCAGGAGAACAAGGCTTCATCACACATAATAGTTACTTGGGAAACCACCACCCCAAACATCTCCACATTCCCTTTTCTTTCCCCCAGCTTCATATACTGAGCATGATGTCATATGGTTTGAAATATCCCTTTGGTCAGTTAGGCAACCTGTCCTGGCTGTGTCTCCTCACAACCTCCCATGCAACCCCAACTTCTTCTCTAGTGTGGCAGTACAAAAAGTAGAAAAGGCCTTGGCTCTGTGTAAGCCCTGTTCAGCATTGCAAAAGCATCTCTGTATTATCAACCTTGTGTTCATCACAAATCCAAAACACAGCCTCATAGCAGCCACTATGAAGAAAATTAACCCTACTCCAGCCAAAGCCAGTACAATGAGCAAGGGTATACATCCACTCCAGTGCTCTAGTCATGCCAACTATTTCTGTTTAATCCCAGTGAGATCACAGCTCTGCAGTCAGGCATGGATTCCTGTGTTTCCTATGCTATGTGTACTCATGAACAGCATCTGAAATGGGATCCCAGACATGCTGCTTTCTCATGAAAACAGTGAGAGCTTCCTCCATTTTGCTGTCCCCTAGACACACACTCACTGTTCCCGTGACTCTACTACTCTTCTTGGTTCGCTCACTATGAACCAATGAAACCACTTTAAAGCCTCCTCACTAGGCTTAGCAAACCTGCTGGCAAAGACACTCTTGCTCCAATCTGTCACTGCTGCCCAGCAAAGCTCATTTAACAGAGGAGGTCCAAGAGGCCATAAAGGCTAAGGCCAAATGACACCAGCTGAACATTCAAGTGATGACCTGCAGGGCATATATGCTCCTACCCAAGCCCTTCCCTTTTACTGTATGGATTTAGGAGACCACTGCTAGGGCTTCCATGCCCTTGACTCTCTGTAAACACTCTTGAAGAACTCCAGGTCACCCCTCACAGTGTCATGGGCGCCCATGTGGTTGGGTAACAAGAGGCATTAGACCAAGGTCCAGATCAGCTTCAGCAGACTCTCTGCAATACCTTACATCTGAGTCCCAGCAAGTGACAAACCTCTCAAGTCATCAAGCCAAGACTGCAGATGGGTGCCTCCAGCCCCCACAGGAAGAAGCCTTCAGCCATCATCACCCACGACTTCCTCCCACTGTCAACAACTGTTCAGGATCATCTGTCTCCAACAACTCCCCTGACAGAGCTTGCTCCTCCTCATCTGTTACCATGGCACTATACCTATCCTATAAATGCACATCTGCAGGCAGAGAAAGAACTGCCTTCTGTCGCCAGCATTCACAAGCTTCCATTCCTCCCCATCTTAGAAGTCTCTATCCACCACTTATTCAAATGCAGCTTCCAGCCATCCCTCCTTCCAGGCAATGTGCTCTCCTACTCTGTACAGACCCTGTCAATCTCCTGTTTCCATTCCCTAAGGTTCTGCAGCCTGCTCCTCTCCTGCTGTTGCATCACCTGGCAGCTCAGCATCGTGAGGACAGCAGAACCCAACAGATGAAGCCACCATCATGCACTGCCCCAGGCTCAGGAAAAAGTACCAGCCACTCCCTACATCCCAACATCTGCCACATTATCCCTCTGGAGCTCTGCCTGGGCTAGTGTCCCATGTGCCAGGCACAATTGCTCCAGTCAGGGTGGTAAAGCATGCTTTCAAGGAGCATCACTGCACCCACTCCAGCTGTCTCAGAATGCTGGGTGCCTTCTGCATCCCCTTGCATGCTAACTGCTGCATTAACTGTTAAAACCTTGTCAGTCACTCCATGTCACAACACTCCTGCAATGTTTTGCAATACTATGGCCAGCAACGTGGGCGCAATAGAAAGAGGGAAGAAAAAAAAAAAGCCTGACACAGAGCAGTTATCATTTTCTAAACCACTAAAGCTAGAAATAATTCCTCCCTTCAAAACATCAAAAACCTTTTGCTGTTTGCTTGTCCTGGGTTGATAATGATGTTAAATTGTATCCCCATTCGTCCACCTAACCCAGACACAGGTTTTGTATTCTTAAAATTCCATCTCAGAGTAAAAGTGAGTGGAAAAGAAGCACCGAGTCTGTTATCAGAGACTGTACTTGCTCCCCCCTATCGGGAGTTTTGACTACAGCACAGACAGACAACAAGGCACAGATCGCCTTGGCTTTCCAACTAGCCGGAGCAGAGAGCTCTTCCTGGACTGTTTTCTTTCCCTTTTTTGAAACGAATCGAACCTGCTCTGGACTGGGGACTCGGGGGAGCACCGGGAGCTTGCACCCGTGGACTACCGGGAGCCCAGCCTGGGCAGCGGCATTTTCCAGCGCCAGAGGGACTGATAACAGAGCGAACACCCACAGGAAAGAGACCCTCTGAAGTTTGTCATCTCTTCTGAAGGGCGAGAGGTTTTGTAATGTGATATCATTCATTTTTGTGCTGGGTAGTGCTGTGCCTGTGAAATAAACAGGTTTTTTCCACTTCTCTCAGAGAAATCTCTTCCCGAACCGGTTGGGGGGTGGGAAAAAAAGGGCCACGTGGGTTTGCTTCCTGGGGGGAGCCCCACTGGAGGTTTTCTCCCAAATTTTGCCCTAAACCAGGACATTGCTACAGACAACTTTTTTGCTTTTTCCAGATTTGTGTTCCACACAGTACAAGCACAGAGGCATTTACCAGCATACAAAGGCACGTCAACTCCTACTCTTCTCCTAGATAGCTCTTCTTCTCAAAGACACACCACAGATAGTCTTATGACGTATGCCAAGAAAAGGCAGCTTTAAAATAATTATGCAGAGGATGTGTTCTCTTGCAAAACAAATAATCATTAAAGGGCCTCCTCTCTTTCCAAGTTGTTTCTTTAAATACTCATTATACAAGCAAATGAGAAAAGTGAAGAAGCTGAAGATATGACATTACTCCCTGCCTGTAATTCTGCTTCCCTGAAAATAAAAAGCTTATGACTTTCTCTCTAGCCATTTGATTTCAGTTCCTTAGTTGAGTTTAGGTCAGAATTTTCTCATTGTAATAATGTGCTCTAGGATGACCCTGTTTGATCAAGGACATTGGACCAGATGACCCACTGTGGTCAACCATATCCATTTTGTGAATCATTTCTGACCAAAAACTGACACTGCTCTACTGGTTCAAACTGGATACCTCTTGAAAACTTTCTACTTTTAAAACTAATACCATTATCTACTGGTACATAAGAGGCAAAGTTTTTTTGGCAGATGTTCACTATTACGAGGGATTTCAGAGACTGAAAAATATCTAAATCAACACTTATCTGCTGAAGACTGTCACACTGACTCAGGAAAGGGATATTCAGGCCTGTTCCCTATAAAAGTCCTCAATGGTAGCAAAGCCATTTTCAAAGTAAACTTTATATCCATGACTTGATCCATTTTAACAGATTAGGAGAACGTTCCAGTTCCCAGATCTAGGGGCAGGTGACTGCCAAATAACTCTATTTCAGCACTGCACTCCAGCATGTACTGTGGAAGATAGAAAAAATCTTCAGTGTATATACTATAGTAGGATCTCCATCCAAATTATCAGGAAGAGCAAGTTCAGCCTGGATACAGCTTGTCAAGTTGCAGATAAAGCATTTTATTATCTCTCTGGATTGCTTCTGAATGAGCACTTATAAAGAAGGATGTTCTTGTGGACTCCTTATTAAAATACTCTTCCCAGTGCAGTCACGTGTCCCACAGGGCCTCTAGTGCAGCTCATCTAACACTTCACTGAGAGCTGCTCTCTGCACAAGTGTCCTGTCCCCAGGGTCACAAACAAGTTCTGCAGTGCCCTCATACTCTCTCCTGACTACAGAAATTATGGGTCTGCAGCCTATCAAAAAGTTGGAATGCAGTAATTATGCTGCCTTTAGAGGAAGAATACTATTTGCCTCAAGTTCTTTTCAGCAAGTAACAGAAAACAGAACATGAAGGAACCTTCAGAGGTCAAACTCACCTCTCTTCCTAGGCAGTCTGACTGCCTGGGAACAGAGATAACCACCAGCCTTACTATAGCCACAGGATTACACAGCTATAGACAGCTGGAAAGCATTTATTTCTATGTAAGGACTGATCTAATTCACCTCCATTAAAGAACTGAAGAGTAATGCTGGTTGTGTCACACTAGGGAGCTGAAATCAAAGAGCAGAAATTTAGTCAATATGACATCTTTAAACATAAAAAAAGTTCAGAATTTTGGATCCACATTAAAAAGTATTGGAATAAAAATACTGTGTACAAGAGGCAAGTCATTATTTAAAATGAAGACAAGTCTCCATCCAAGTACTGTAGGTTAACCCTGGTACGTAGTTCAGCCCCATACAACCCTATTTACTCAAACATTCCACTCCCAGTGGGAATGGGGAGACAATCACAAGGACAAAACAGGCAAAACTTGCTGGCTGAGATAAAGTCATTAATAAGTGAAGCAGAACTGAGTTTGAAAACAAAGTGAAACAAGAAATTAATTCACTACTTCCCACTGTCAGGCAGGCATCTAGCAATCCCCAGGAAAGCAGGACTTTATACTATGCAGCAGTGATTTGGAAAGCCAAACATCCTATCTGTGAATGCCCCCCTTTTACTCCTTCTTCCTCCCAGCTTCTGCTGCTGAACAAGATGTCCTAAGGTCTGGGGTGCCCCTTTGGTCAGCTGGAGTCGCTGTCCCAGTGTGACCTCTCCCATCTTTTTGTGCACCCCAGGCTGCTCACTTGGTGGGGTGGTGTGAGAGTGAGAATAGGCTTTGATGCTGTGTGAGCACTGTTCAGCAATAACTAAAACATGGGTTGTCAACACTGGTTTGGTCACAAATCCAAAGCATAGCACCAGTGGAATGGCTAGAAAGGAAATTAACTCTATCCCAGCCAAAACCAGGGCACCAAGATAGAAAGATAATGACTAGTGAACTTCTCCATAAGCAAACCCTCCTGAACAATTAATGAAAGCAACAGTGACAGAGATGTACTGTAGAGTGATATATACAGAAACAAAAAGAATGTGTAACAGAGGGAAGGAAAAGGTATTACAAGAAAAGGAGATGAAAAGGCATGTAGAACACAGAATTAGGACCACACACAGAACTTCACAGAGCAGCCAACCTTAGCAAATCAAGAACATGTTATTCAGACGCATAAAACCTTCATTCCAATGCTGCAGACTCATAAGTGTTGTTGCAAGAGCGTTGCAATGCATTAACTTTTAAAAGCCTCAGCCACATAGTTAGGAATAGTAAGTAGGACATCAAAAGTAAATCAACAACAAACATTAAATAAAACAGCATGCTGCTGCTGATGTTACTAATCACAGAATTCATCACCTAATGAAGTTAGGTGTTAATCACTTCTAATCCTTCGAATTATAAACTGCTAAATGTTTCCATGTCTATATGAAAATACTATTAAAAACACGACAGCAAGACGTATCTCAAGGAATAGTAAGAGTATCTCAAGGCCTCTGGGGTCTTTAATATTAACAATCTTTCTAAGAGTAAACAAAAGACTAAAAAACAATTCACCTGATTGCCCGTTTCTGTCACTATTTCCTCCTTGGCAACTTCAGCCCGTTCCTTATTTCGGCAAACCAGATGAACTGTGCCACCTGGTGGATTGCGACAAGAAAAGCATTTGATAATTAATTACTAACTGCATTTGGGGGAGACATCAGCGTTTTAATTAGGTGAGATAGTGGACGTAGAAAAAAGCTGGAACATTTCTGCTTGGCTCTGGTTCCTGTGAAGGGAGGCAGGGTCATCATGCAAGGCTACACACATGGAAAAGGCCACTGCACTCTAAGTACTGTGCTCAAACCATTTCTGTCAAGCCTGTACATCATGTTTAGTGGGTGAAATACCAGAGCTAAAAGGGAAACTGAAGCTAAGGAATCTGTATCATAGATGGTTTTTTTTAATATATGCCTTAGGAAGTTCAGTAAAGAGCTTGAACAACACAAGTGAATGGAATTGCTCTGTGAAAAGGAAATAAAAGCACCAGATACCAGAATTCTCAGCAGTGGGAAATATGACAAGGACTATGGCCTCAATTGCAGCTTGGGAGGCTCAGGTCATCTGAATTATTTTTCATCAGAAAAATAATTTTCCAGTAGTTTTCTTCTCAATAAGCAAGGTTTTCTCAAGAGGATACATAATTTGCATCCTTGTGGCTATCAGGCAGCGAGACACAGCAATGGCTGGTTTCATATCCTGTTGTCTGCTTCAAGTGAGATGCTGGACAAGGTGACCTCTTGAGGTCACTTCCAACCAACTTTTCCATGAAAGGAGGATACAAGGCAAGGTTCTTCTCAGATACCTGGATACTTAACACAGTCTCATCACAGCCATAAAAAAGAAAGCTCTCAAACACAAGACTAAAGTACAGCTAGGCAATTTTTCTTTTCTTCATATTCTCTGATTGTTACAAGACATGTTTTAATTTCAGTCATAGGAATATGTATACTCTTTACTTCTGCCTGTTTTTAAAGGTGTTTTAGGGATTGCTAGCAGTCCATCTTTAGAAAGCTCAAGGAATTAATCCCTAATAGAACCATCATTAATCCATAATAGAAACAACAGCTGTGTTGGGTCACACTTCTAGTGCCCAGAACCCAAATGCAAAACACTGAGCCTACCTCGGGATGACACAGTCACACACTGCACAGCCCAGTCTGAGGTGTGATAATGAAACCTTTCCTCTACAAGAGAGGTTTTCCACTGAGCACCAGGACAGGGGGGAAGTTTAGGTGTGACTGATACACTAGGAAAGGAATTAAAATGTATTTTCTTTAATGAAGATTGTATCTATTTGAACTTAAGACATAGGAACAGTCAGAGTAGTTGGGAGAAGACTGGAAGCTGGAAGAGCAGTTCACAAGACATGGAGTAAAGCCCAAATCCGAATATCCATAAGACACCAATTCAGAAAAAAGCTGAACTCAGACTACAGAAATTGTCAGCAAGACCATCATTAGTTAGAAATATCTGAGTGTTTGAAGGTAAAGCCGACACAGCTTGATTTTTCTTCTGCTGAGTTGGAATTCCTTATTTTCTTGTTGCGGCATACTTGAAGAGATTCAACTAGAAGCCTGAGCCCCCAGAGCTGACTCTGAGTTTCAAAGTGAGATGTTCAAGGATGGGACCAGGAAGTCATTTAAACTTCATGTGAACAGCAATGCCCATACAACATATCAGACATGCAGTCTGAGCCCAAGGCTGTTCTGATAAACATGGTGACCAAATCCCATACAGACCCAGACAGCTTTCCAGCTTGCAAAACCTGGTAGAATACCCCTTTGTGAGCAAAACCGGTCACCTGACAAAGCAATAGCTACATAAAGTGATTATGTACAATAGCAGTAGTGGGAACCTGAAATCAACCACATACTGGCACTGATGTACATCTTTAACCCAAAGACTCTTTGATGCTAACAGTTTTGAATTAGTTTCGTTTAACTGAGTTATACTTTCCTTCATAAGATAGTTACAAAACCTAAGCACACAAAGACAGAAGAGTCACAAGCTCCTCCCTTTCATTCTATGTGCCAAAACTCCTGTCACTCTTGCACAACAGGAATTATTTTGTCAACTCTGTAAGGGATTAGATTTATCCTTCAGCAGCAGCTAGGCCCAGTTCATACCGTGTCCTTGCGTACAGGGAGCAACATAAAAAAATAATTACATGTAATCAGTCAAAGGGCACAAACTCCAGGGTATTAAGAACAAGAACAGCTACACTGGTTTTATTTATGCTCTCCCATCTTCCTTTTTGTAAAGACAATTGTTTTCTTTCACGGTATGACACATTTGCAGATTCCTCAGTTCAAATTCAGCCAGGCTGCTACTCATACCAAACTATCCTTTAACAGACACTGATCCATCACCAGCATCCTTAGATACCACTATAACACATATAATTTCAGTAAACATGCACTTGAAAAACATTTGCTGATTCTCTCTGCTAATTTGGTTTCCTTATCCCAGTTTGCACCGCACTGATTGTGCTTAAACCTCTAACTCTCCCTAAGAGCCCTGTGAAATGACCCTGCATCCCAGAGATTTGTGCTTGTGTGTAAGTGCTGGAAAGCCAAACCCACTTCCTTCCATCTTCTCTGTAAGCCTCCTGGGAGCTCCATGGCAGCCCTGCTCACCTCTCCTGGCTATCTCCTTGGCCGTGGCCTTGCCAATGCCACTGTTTGCACCAGTGACTAGGAAGGATCTTCCCGCAACATCCACCTCTACATCAGCTGGGCTGAAGTGCTTGGAAGCAGACTCGTAACCACCTCTGAACAAATGAAGAGACAGACACCTGTGAGAAACTAGAAGCGAGCCCTTCCAAAATAAACACACGTGTTGATTGTAAAGAACTTTCACAGCTCAGCACCCAGTAATTTCCCCATTTACTCTCTGTACTCATGGAACGGACTATGAACACCAGCGACAGTGACATCGATGTATCATAGTATCATTAAGGTTGGAAGAAAGTCTTTAAGATCATCAAGCCCAACCATCAACCCAGCACCACCACGTTCACCCACGTCCTCAAGTGCCGGATCCAGATGTTTTTTTCAACACTTCCAGGGGCGGTGGCTGCACCACTTCCCTGGGCAGCCTGTTCCAGTGCTTTGCAATGAAGGCGACAACTCGCGGTGGCGTTCGGTCGCCCCAAGCCACCCAGCCCTGGCCTGGACCCTCGTGGGGCGGGCAGGGCCGGGCCGCCCTCACAGCGGGGCTGGGATCTGCGCGCCTCGGCGGGGGCGGGCAGCCGTCCCTCAAAGCACCAAACAAACACGGCCTCGCCGCGGACACACAGGAACGCCCCAGCCCGGGCCCTGCGCCCGCCCCACGCCGCCTCCCGGGCCCCGGGCGGCCGCCGCCCGTACCTCGTGTACTCCCGCAGCCCCTTGACGAACCACACGGTGTTGCGGTACCAGGACATGGCGCTGCTGCCGCCGCCGCCACCCCCGCGGCCGTGCCGGCCCCGCCTCTGCCCTTACATAAGGCGCCCGGCCAGCCCTGCCGCGTTAGGTAAGGGCTGAGGGGCGGCCCGGCCCGGCCGCGGTGAGGGACGGTGCGAGGCAGCGCAGCGAGTGTGACAGTACGGGCAGTGGTGCCACCTTCCTCCTCAGCAGCAGCCCGTGGGCTGGTTCTTCTTGTCCTTTCTGTTTTCTCCCCTTCTGCATTAGCCATGAAAGACTGCTGTAGGCGGCTGTGCCTGGCGAAGGTGTGGCAGACGAAGATTGGAGCCCTGGGGAGATGCTGTTGCCAGCTGAGCCGGGACTGCAGACGGGCTGTTGTGTTTTGGTAACGGGGAGCAGTGCTGCAGAACCTAGGCCTGCATCCTCTGCCCTGGAAAGCTGTCAAAGGGATGCTCCCAGAGAAACATGAAAAATGACGTCGTGCTACATGAAAGTAGCATTTTGCATAACAAATCCATTAAATACCTAGCTCCTGCTGATGGAGTGAAGTATTCCAGTATGGAAAGGGTACACGAGTGGCTGTTGCAGTAAGGGGAGTGAAATTCAAAATGTTTTCAGTTTTATGCTCTTTGGACTTAGGAAGTCCAAGAGAAGCACTTGGAGTTGCACATCTGGGCAGCCCATGTTAGCCATAAGGATATTGTCATTATAGGTATAATTATAGTTTTAATTGCACAAAAGGTCTGTGCACTTAGAAAGTTCAGTGTGCAAGCTGGATAAAATCATGTATTTTATGGAGTATGCAGGGCCACATGCAGAGAAACTCCATTGGAAACTCCATCTAAGTTTTCAAGAGCTTAAGTTACCTGATTTTAATAGTGCAGATAGCAGAGAAATGGGAATATTCTCTCTTTTTTGATCCTCTGATATAGCCTGATACTTCTTTTTCTAAATCTCTTCGCTCTGGCAAAGGCCTTGTACTAAAGTCATTCACTTTCTCAGCACAATGTGTCAGTATTCGGCTCATACAAAAAGCATTTCCCACCGTGAAGTTGCAACTTTTGAACTCAGCCCTGTCTGCTTCTAGGGTACATTACATGTGAAGTAACAGTTTCTAGAGGGCAAACAGACACATTTTCACAGTGATACTTTCTTCCATGCAGAGGCCATCCAGCTACATGTTGTACATGTTGCCTTTTAATGAAATACAAAAATGCTTGATCTTAAAACAATTGAAAGATTATTGCAAATGTAAATAGAGTAAGACAGATTGTGCTTTATTCCCTTGCCATTTCTGTGTTTAACATATTTATTTCTTAAGAACTGTGATTATGGCCTAGTAAAAGCAAAATGGATGTGTTTTGTTTGTAGTTGCAGCCTGCATTCTCATAAATTGGGAATTTCATCCCTGCAGTCTGCCAGCCTCTGAAAGTAAACAGGGTGCATGCAGATACACAGAATTCCTCACAGGCTGAACCATTTGGAGTGTGATCAGCATGATGCTGGATGGTGCAGCCCTGAGGTGCTAACCAATATGAGTATGCCTGGCAGAAGCTGTCCATGAGTCAGACACGAAAAGAGATCATGGCTGGCAGAGAATGGAAGCAGCTCATAATATTTTGGGGGTTAAGCAGTAATTGGCAATTACAGCACATTACTCATATTGAGATTACAGAAGATGTTTGAATGTCATGTTGGCTACCGCTGTCATCCTGTACATACACAATTTTCTCAGAGAATATTATGTAAATACTGAAGTGCCCCTACTGTGATGTTAGCTGTACCCTTCTAACAAACTGAATTTTAAGGAGATTTTGTAAATGCCCAGAAATTATGTCCTTGCCAGAGTGCACCAATCCCTGAGCACATTCAGCTGTGAGGTTTCTGCTTAGAAACACTTGTTTTTTCTGTACTTAGGGGCTAAGCTTGAACCCAGAAATTAACTGACACAGTGCACTGTCTGTCTGAGCAGCTTCATAGAATCGGTCAAGGTTAGGAAAGACCTCCAAGATCATCAAGTCCAACCTTCACATCAAAAGCGAGCTGTTGCATGCTGTCCTAGCACCCCCCTTGATGGTTCTGTTGCCTCATTTCATCCCCTGTGGTGTTTTGCTTCTGTATGGTTCCAGAGGCAGGCAGCTGTAGAGATTGTGTAAGTGCTCTCTGCTAACCCAGCCATTGTAGCACGAAGGGTTGTGCAGGAGAAAGGCAAGATGTGCTTTTGCCAAGAGCTGGGTGCTGCTAATGAAGGGCCTGCACCTCAGTATCCTCACAGGCAAAATTTCTGCCCACTTCAAAAGTTTTTACCACATATCTTGCCTTCTCTACTGAATTCTAGGTTGATACATCTTGTTAGCTGAATTAGAACCTATTCTGGAGCTTTGGAAATTCGAAAAGTTATAGAGTCTGGTTTCTTTCTTGACTGCTAGTATGTTACCAATTAACTCCAACAGGACGCTGCTCTGAACATAAGGGATATTTTTAGACAAAGAATTTTTCTCATGGATTGGCATCCTACATCTCAGACCCTCATCATATACCAGCCAGCAACTGGTATATTTGTGTGATATATAGCTGAAAGTGAGAGAGCCAGAGTCTTTTGAGCTCTTAATATTTCCCTCATTTGAGCACAGAACAAAATGGCTTCACCCAGGCTAATAACCACAACTCAGTGTTTATCCCTGATAAAACATATCCAAGTTAATTCTTACCCTATATCTATGCTATCAAATACTCCATTGCGTATTCCCAGGCTCTGATCCTCTTATTGCCCATAGGCAAATGATTGTTGATGCCCAGGTCACAGTAGGTATTAAGCAGATATTTCTGTCCAAAAAAAGCTCAGATATCACTGGGGAAATAGTTTGCTCAGAGGGTAGTTTGTTCCCAAAGACTACATATGAGGGTGCACCAGGGTTAACACTGCACAGCTTGGCTTGGCACTTGTGGTCCTGCATTCTGGTGCATGCATTTACCAGTGTACAAATTGCCCCCAAGCCTGTTATGTAAGCCCTCCATGACTGCAGGTAATCCTCTAAGTATCATCAAAATTCTAGAGTGCTGTGGCTGTGAGCCTCCAGACAATAGGATTTTTCAAGGAGTAATGAGTTGAGAATCTCAATTTTCTTAAAACACAAGAGCTGGTGAGAAATACCTCTCTGGCACTCAGCTGGACTAACGTGAACAACACCTTAGATTTGATCTGTCTTTGTACCTGTCAAATAGCAACTAGTTTTAAGCAAAGTTTTAATTACTTCCAGCACAAAGGAATGGTGAAAATGCTGATTGCTGTTAAGGGCTGTGCATTTCAGTGTGCTTCATATTTTCTTCCCAGGAGACAGATCTAAAAGTAAAGTACTCAAGAGCTGAAAAGCAATTATATATTATACAGGATGTTTAAAACAGCTTCAAGGCCATTTTGCCAATATCTCTTTTTTTTTGGTTTGGTCTTAAGGACACCTGGCTCCTTTGCTTGCTTCCTTCCAGAGATCTAGCAGGCTGTTGTGCATTCTCTCCTTTCCTTGCAGTTACTAATTTTCTAATTAAGTCTTTGTGCCTGCTCCCATTAGATCAATCAGAACTGATTCAGTTGCCACTGATTGCAGTGGGAACAGGCTCAGGCTTTAAGGGCCAGGTTTGCAGGAAAGCTCAACATCTATAATTGAGGTTAGGTTTCCAAAAGAAGTGGCAAGTGTGTTCAAGCCACTGCTGTGGGAAATGCTCCCAGCCCTGTTTTTACCATGCTGGCCTCAGCTCTGGATGTAGAACACTTGGAAACTCTGCTTCAGAAATTTGTACTGCCCCAGTCAGTGCAAGAGCTGTCAGCAGCCTGGGGAGAGGCAGTTGACACTTGTCCTGTTGTCTGGATGAAGCAGAGGGTTTGGTGAGTGGTTGAAGAGGAACATAAAGTGCCTGAGATCTCAGGGACATGTCTGAAGTGCTTCTGGTAGTAGCAGGGTGAGAGAAGCAAAAGCTGCTCATCCTGAATGCAGGGAGGGGTTGGAGTTCTGGCCTGTTTTGTGAACAGTAGGGTGTTTTCTTTGTTGTGTACCCAGGTCATCACCAAGTTTGCCAGTTGCTGTCATCAGCAGTGTTGTTTCTAGTGAAGAATAAGGCTTTCCCCAGACCAAAGAGCCTTTTATTATTGAGGAACAAGTGTGGCAGTATGTCATCAGATCTATCATTCATTGCTCGGGGCCAGTAAAAGGACTCTCATGTTGTACCTTATCAGAACCACAGGCTTGCTTTATCAACTGCTGAGGTCCCTGGTCTCTGGGAGCCTGCAGGTCTTCCCAGGTTTAGGCATGTTCTGGGGAAGAGAGGGGCTGCTTAGTGTCCTCCCAAAGTGGAAAGAATTGGCTGGGAGCAGCAGCTAAACGTGTTGCTAACCTAGTTAATCTCCTATATATCAAATAACTTATGCAAGCTGAAGTGTATATAATTGCTTTTAAAATAATAGGGTGGCTAGGATATTTTAAAAATAATAAAACCAAAATGATATAATTGATATGCATCCTAGAGAATGATTTTTTTTTTAGTTAGTAAAAATATTTTTTTGATTCCCATGACTGAAAAATTCTTTATGTTCTTACAGTAAACAACATACTTGAATGCATACATGTTTGTTTCTAGGCAGTAATGCAGTTATCTATACTAACATTTTCTTCAGCTACCTGTTTTTCTTCTTACTGCTCTTCTACTGGATCTTATTGTTCTTACTACCAGCTGTTGAACAAGAATACTCACAGGCTTATTGACTCAGGTGAGTCCTGCTACACTTTTTTTTATTCTTCTGCAAATCTTACTGTTTTTTAGCATTTTATTCCAGCCTAGTTGTTACCAAATTGCAGATGATATCTAGTGTCTCGTTAAAGGACTTTTGGATTTGGGTTCTTTTTCCCTTTGAACTGAAGATTGACGAGAGGGAGGCTAGTTTTCTCTTGTTCGGTCTCAGTTGTTTATTTTTCTCTTATCAGCATTACAAAGTACAAAGAGCTACGTGCACTAAGATAGAAAAGGGGTAAAATGGCTAACAAA